ACATCATTAGGGTTGTTAAAATGACTCTTTGTTCGTGAACAACTCGTGTTCGGCTCGTTAAACAAACGAGTCGAACACGAACACACTTTTTGAGCTCGAAATATAAATGAGCCGAGCTCGTGTTCGGCTCGTTTATACCCCTATTAGTCACTACTCATTTGAGATGTGAGGGACTCACTCTCTGCCCGATGAATTAGCGTGAGCTTTGAAGTATTGAGACTGTTCCCAAACAGAATAACCTTCCTTTGATTGCCTATACCCCAGATTTATGATAATATGAAGCGAAACTCCTTTTATCAAAAGTATTCTTGGGTATCCCCCAATATGTAATTAACCAGTAGAAACACGTTCCTCTATGAGTGGTCTTAACCCCAGAACAGGTACATACACCTGCCTCTCTGGATACGGATAGTCTACGGAGCTCATACTTCTTTCGCGGATATTGGTTTAACATGCCTTCGCTTGATCTTGTTTGTGTGGACATTCTTGACTTATTCTTGCGACGTTTATCGCACGTAGACTCTCCATGTTTTACTTTTTCTCTTGTTTGTCATTTTGTCGTATGTCCCTTCTTATTCGGTTCCTCTCATCTTCGAATCATTTATATGATTCGGGAAGGAGACTTATTCGAATGGGGAAATTATATGACGATCGACAAGCTGACGACTCCTTTTAAAATAAAAAAGAGAAAAATGAACGGAAACCACATATGAAATAGCATATCCGGGGAAGTAAGTTCGTGTACTCATGAAATGATAGCCTCAAGTTTAGTGGGATCCATCTCAATTCCAACTTCTGATATAACACATCCAAGGAAGTAAGTATGTGTACTAAGGAAATGACACTTCTTAAAATGAACATATAGTTATCCTATCAAAATATTTAAAAGTTTATTGTAGGTGCTACAAATACTCGTCCTCCAAACAGCTACACACCAGAATATCATTGAATTACAAAGCAGCAATTTTTTTAATAATGGCTTGAAAATTGGTTCATCAATCTCATAAAAGCGCTCGTTGTATTGAACAAGAAAAGAAGGCATGATTTTTCGATCATACAATCCACTTTGCATTTTGAAAATGATCTAACACTCAACCACGAGCCTCATCTGAATCTGATGGCATCCGCTAAGCAGATCTATTTTAGAAAATATGTTACTCCATGCAATTAATCCAACAAATCAACTAATCTTGGAGTGAGAAACCAAAACTTGATCCTGATCTTGTTCATTGCTCTACTATCAATGCACAAATAACACGATCTATCCTGCTTAGACATAATCGATGTTGATACAACATACAAAATAGTAATAAAAAATTAACATCTAGGTAATCAGATTCTCAACCTATTTTCGCAACTACTCATACTTGGTTGATAGATTCGAAAGCTGGCCGATTTAAGAGCACCGATCCTAGAAAGATAGCTATGATATATTGAATCTAAAATGTAGATTGTCAGTTAGAACATCTTGAAACTCATCCAATAAGAGTTGCACTATCTCAGGTATCAACTTCGTATCACTGCCCTTCAACATCACCAAGATCAATCCCATTAATAGCTCTCATAGCTTGTAAAAATAATGCATGAGACACTATAGCTCCCATCTCCATCTAAGTACTAATCACTGTCGACTCCCTCCAAGGCAAAAGTACAATAATCTTCTCATCTAGAGAATCAATGCAAACTTATTATTTATAAAGAGAACGATTAGAGAATCATCAGTGATTGAACTAAAGTACTAATGTCCTTATGTCATAGTAATATTTTTGCTATTGCTTGACCAAATGCATCTATTGTTACTGTCACTAGATATATTGAAATCACTAAAAACTCGTGATTTATGATTCTATTGAATTTTTATTTGTATTGTAAGAATGATGTGTACTTAGCATATTTCAAATTATCATAAATATTGAATATTATACAAGTATATTGATTGTCATGCAAATGTGAATGAAATAACAATTATTAAATAGTGATTTTCATAGTATATTTGCATGTGCATGTTTGGCCGTGATGGAGTCACCCATTTATGGTACTAACGGGGTAAAGCTAAAGCACGTGTACACGTAAATTAAAAAAACTATTGATATTAAAGTACCTTAAATAATCAAGTTTATAGGTGCTCCTGTGACGGTTGTATACATATTAAATAGTATTGATATGTAAATGATATAGTAAAGCACAGAGTGAATGTTTAAAATCACATTGAATGATTATATTATATAGTACAAACAGTTCAATGCTCTTATATTTTTATACAATTTAAATGACATGTATATTGTTTTCTTTTTCATTGTGTTACTATGATTTAGGAGCATGGGGATTCATTAATTTTATTTAGCTTACTATAGTTTTAAACTAATATTTCAGGTTTAAAAAATAGATTGAAAAGATGACCAATAGAAGATGAAATATTTACAAAAGATGCGAACTATCAGGAATAAGGTAAATTTAATTGTTTTACTTTAATTCATTTTTATAGTGGCTCTTTTATATATTAAAATGTTAGTTATAGAATAATTTAACTTCTACCGCCCAACCGTCTGTACCAACCTTGGTTAATTCCAAGCCCCAGGTTGGGTCATGATATACATTTATGTGTTGTGGTCAAGATCTCTGTGATATGCACAATATTTCTGTCGGTCCCTAGAAAAGCTTTGGTTCTCATCAGAGGTGCTCTTTTGAAGGAATCCATGTTTTGAATGATCTCAACAATCTTGGTCTTTGAGACCCTCAACAAGGTCGCCTTTGGTGCCTCATTATGGACAGTGAATGCTCATTATACCGAACCGACTGCTGGTCCGAAGATCGGGTCCTACTCCTGTGGTTATAAGGTTTGTCTGCTCGCTTATGATCTTTGGTTAGTTCACTATCTTCATAGTTGGAGCTAGCAGAAGGGCAAGAATCATCCCTCTCCAATTGTCGTCCCTGTGGGCTTCTCTGCAGACAACGGGTAGCTAATTTTACTTGGCGAAAGCGGGGGTGGAATTGTACTTCTCGGTACAGATATGATTGTTAGCCAGCTCCAATAATTTGGCTAATGTTTTCCGTCACTAAGGACCCAAGGTATAGCAGATGGGCCTTTCTTTCAGCCCTTGAGCCAGGGCAGCATGTGCTACTGCGGGTTTCATATCCCACTCCTCTAGCTTCTCCTTCTGAAATCAGGTCACGAACGAGCACCACAAAAATTCTTGAGTTTGTAGTGATTTCAATTAATAGCAAATAACTCTTAGTGAATTTATGTGATGTGTGGGGCCTTGGTCTTCCACTAATCGGCACCTTAATCCTCTGTTAGTGGGGCCTTCAATCATACTTTATCTCTTAGTCTGTTGGATTTTCTCGAGATTTATGTTAACGTGTTTCAATGTACAGTAAAATACCACTTTACCCACAAATGTGATCCTCAATTTCAGCTAGTGTGCTAGTCAAAGATGAACTTCCACTTTTCAACGGTCCTACTTTTTGTCATCCACAGCTGATCCATCAGTTAGATGTCAAAGCACTATGTTTTATATATTTGTTACCCAGTCTTTCTTAAGAATCCAAAACTATGCTAAAAAGAAGTCAAACAGGATGACATTGAAACAAATATAAAAAAAAGTCACACACAGCAGTTATAATACGTTCAAAGTGTGAAAACATGAAGTCAGAACTAATTATGATCCACATACGGCAGTATAACATGCTTTCTCATGTGCTGATGGTTTTCCAAAATGAACAGTCCTTGTTATATCAGTTGTTCCATCTTGATACTTCAAGAAACAGCAAACGTTAGAAACTTATAAAAATTTAATGCCCCAAAGCAGAAAGAGTGGCCGAAAACATTTTGTTAATGTAACAAAACCTGTGCACCCGAATCAAAAAGATATATGCTATCAGCATCAAGCTCTGCACAAGTTCCAGCCTCTGGTACATAATGAATAATTGAAGCATTTGGACCAACTGATGAAATGGTTGGAAAACTCAATCCTTTAAAGTGCTTCAAAACAAAATACAATAATAAACGATAAGATGTTTGCATAGACTAGAAGAAAAGGCTAAAACAAGGCATGCCTTTGCCTCAAATATTAAAGAAATAAAGAGATCGACAAAAAAAAATATCATTAATCCAAGTAAATAGCAATTGAACTAACAGTATGCATAAATTAGAGAATAAAATGGGAAAAACGGTTGGAAGGTTAAGAACATGGAAACCTGTTGGAGGGTCGCACATCACTAGATCAAACAATAAAAGCTTACCTCTTGCTTAGCACGAAAACTCTCCAATTTGTCACTCACGGATACCTCTGTCAATTTTTCAGTTTCCCTGCCAGTAAGTACAGATGAAAACGGCTAAGAGAAAGGAGCTCATTAAAATGGATAAGAATTTCAAATAAAAGAATACGAGAAACCTGAATTTTGATACCATTTTTATTTATCACAATTGTTTTATAGAAGCAATCATCTGACACTGACTCACAAGAACAGCAATTGTTCTGTCCTTTTTCCAAATAAAACAA